TAGTTAGAAACTGATGAGAGAGAATCATGGATCAGCTGCCTCTTGCACACCCCTCCTGGGGATGTGCCCACAACCAAGATACATTCCCTTGACTGGAACCTCTCAATCCGCAGGCCGACGCCCTATCCACTGAGCCAAACCAGTTTCGGCTCAACTCTTTAAACAGAATCGTTCAATAGCTAGTAACATTTTTGTCTAAAGAACTTTAGAAAAAACTCACTGTCCTTGCTCCTTCTTTATTTTTTTTTCTTAATATCTTTTGTAATAAATTGGATTAACAGAAAATTAATATTATTGGCTACAATAGGCTGGCTAGCCTCCCCAAAATGTCAGTATCCTAATCACTGGAAACTTGGAATAAGCTATTTAACCTGGCAAAAGGGACTTTGAAGATGTAATTTGGAGTAAGGTCCTCAAGCTGGGGAGATAATGGGTCTAATGTAATCACAAGTCCTTATAAGAAGGTGGCAGAAGGGAGGAGAAGCCAGCTGGCTTTGAAAATAGAGCCCAGGAATGCAGATTTGATTCTGCACCCAATTCCAATGTGTGTGGGAGTGGTTTCTTACACCATCCAAACAATACTCCAACACTAGCGGGGCATCTTACAATTCAACTCAGCTCTTAGAGTATATACATAGAGACAGCATTGATGGTGCGTCTAAAGGTAAGGGTGCCCACTGCTTTTGTCTCCTGATCAGAACACTATTTGGGTTTCCATTTGAACCAATGTGTCCTGAATACTATTCTTTTTTCTTGTCCTTTTGTTTAATCTCAAATAGATGCATGTTGCCTCTCACTTTTGGCCTTTTATTTTTTAGGTTAACACATGGATTCGAGCCTGCCCCTTTTATAGAATGACTTGTGGGTAACTCAGTCCTACCTCCTCAGTCAGGTTTCTCACCTACAGAAGCAGCGTCTCACAGAGAGGGAGAACCACATGTACATGGTTATCCTATGGCTCCTCTCCAGGCTGTCTCTGTATTCCCAAAGAAGGAGTCTACCTTCATCTTTGCAGGGATAAAGTTGGGCAAATCACCATTAAAAAGTATTGCTTGCCATAACCGGTTTGGCTCAGTGGATAGAGTGTCAGCCTGCAGACTGAAAGGTCCCTGGTTTGATTCCGGTCGAGGGCATGTATGTTGGTTGTGGGCACATCTCCAGTCTAGGAGGTGTGCAGGAGGCAACTGATCGATGTTTCTAACTCTCTATCCCTCTCCCTTCCTCTCTGTAAAAAATCAATAATATATATATATATATTTTAAAGTATCTCTTTTATATTTTAAATTTTTATTTTAAAGATTATTTACCACAATTATTCTAATTCTTATTACTATTATAATGATAATATTTTATGTAGCAGTTTATCTGTGATGTCCACTAAGGTTGGTTTTGTAGCTATTCAAATGAGTGATTAGTTATTTATAGTAACAAAGACATGTAAATAGCCTAATTGTCTAGTCATAAAAGAGAGAAAGAGAGAAAGAGAAAGATAGTCCTAACCAGTTTGGCTCAGTGGATAGAGTATAGGCCTGTAGACTCAAGTGTCCCAAGTTCAATTCTGGTCAAGGGCATGTACCTTGATTGCAGGCACATACCCAGTAGGGAGTGTGCAGGAGGCAGCTGATTGATGTTTCTCTATCATCGATGTTTCTAATTCTCTATCCCTCTCCCTTCCTCTCTGTAAAAAAATCAATAAAATATATTTTAAAAAAGAGAGAGAGAAGGATAGCATGCAACCATTAAATATTATGCTTGTGAAGAGTGTCTAGTGACACAGAAGATAATTAAATTATTAAGTGAATAAAGAAATATAACATTTTGTAAAGTAAGATTCCAGCTGTGTAGTAAAAACAGATGTCTCTCTTTTAAAACAAGCCCAGCAGGTGTAGCTCAGGTGGTTGAGCATCGTCCCATGCTCCAAGAGGTTACCCGTTTGATTCCAATCAGGGCACAGGCCTGGGTTGTGGGCTCACTCCCCAGTGCAGGACATACAGGAGGCAGCCATCATCCATGTTTCTGTCTCTCGCTCCCTTGCCCTTCCACTCTCTCTACAAATCAATTTTTAAATAAATAAAAGTAAAACAAGAAGGAAATAAACAACAATGTTAAGAATGTGAAAATATATTGCCGAAACCGATTTGGCTCAGTGGTAGAGCGTCGGTCTGCAGACTGAAGGGTCCCAGGTTCGATTCCGGTCAAGGGCATGTACATTGGTTGCGGGCACATCCCCGGTGGGGGATGTGTAGGAGGCAGCTGGTCAATGTTTCTCTCTCATCAATGTTTCTAGCTTTCTATCCCTCTCCCTTCCTCTCTGTAAAAAATCAATTAAAAAAATATATTTAAAAAAAAAAAGAAGAATGTAAAGATATGCATACATATGAGCCTAACCAGTGGTGGAGGACAATAGGGGGGTGGGGACATGTGCGGGGGGGGAAGAAGGGGGATTGGAATGGGGAGGTTGAGGACAAATATGTGATACCTTAATCAATAAAGAAATTTCTAAAAAAGAATGTGAAGATACATTTTTAAATATACTTTTATTTACTTTAGAGAGGGAGAAATAGAAACATCAATGATGAGAGAGAATCATTGATCGGCTGCCTCCTGCATGCCCCACACTGGGGATTGAGCCGGCAGCCTGAGCATGTGCTCTAACCGGGAATTGAATCATGATCTCCTGGTTCATAGGACTATGCTCAACCAACGAGCCGTGCCGGCTGGGCCTAAATTTTGCTTTTATACTGGAAGGAAAACTCACTCAAATCGAACATTCATGAAAGGGAAAGTGTCTATATTTCCTTTGGAGAACTGGAGGAACCAGTGAAGGTGTTCTATAGAAGGCAAAATTACAGCATCAACATCATTGTTCAGAGTTTTTGTTTTTCTAGATTTTTATATCTAATTCTGAACACAACTGACTCCTTAACTGTACTCACTTCCATCCCCAACACACACACACACACACACACACACACACACACACACTAATGAAGTAGGACAAGCTCCCTCTGAAGAGCTATTACTGTCACCTAAGCACCCTTACATTCTTCAAATGGTGGTCAGCCATGTGCCCCATATGTTCACTGCCTTTTCCCTGAAAGCCTTGGTAGATAGGAAGAAAGAAGAATTTCTCCAGAATCAAATGTAATCAAATTATGTCTGAAAAGCAATGTCCATTCTCAGGATGATCAGTCCAGTGAGCCAACCCCAAAGCCTAGATTATCAGAGTCCATCCTGATTCAGACCACATAAAAGTCAGGCATGTCACCCCATGTTGGGTTCAGAGAAGTTTGTCATGTTGAATCACTGCGTAGGTGGGGGTTTTGTTTGATTGTTTTTTATTTTATTTTATTGATTTTTTACAGAGAGAAGGGAGAGTGATAGAGAGTTAGAAACATCAATGAAAGAGAATCATCAATCAGCCGGCTCTTGCACACCCTCTCCTGGGGATGTGCCCGCAACCAAGGTACATGCCCTTGACCAGAATCGAACCTGGGACCTTTCAGTCTGCAGGCCGATGCTCTAGCCACTGAGCCAAACCGGTTTCAGCATAGGTGGGTGTTTTTTTAATAAATATTTTTTAAATATATTTACAAAGAGAGAAAGGGAGAGGGAGAAAGAGAATGAAACATTGATGTGAGAGTGAAACATCAATTGGCAGCCTCCTGCACGCCCCCTACTGAGTTTCAAGCCCACAATCCAGGCAAGTGCCCTGACAAGGAATCAAACCAGCAATCAAACCGGCCTGTGTCAGTGTACAGGCCGAAGCCCAATTAACTGAGCTACATCAGCCAGAGCAAAAATAAAGATTTACTGTAACTTTAAAAGCATGAGGTGCTGCCCAGCTATTGATAGTTGTCAATAGGGAACGAGACTCTTAAAAGTGTGTAGTAGGTGTGAACAGGGCATGGGGGAGAGGGAATGTAAATCTAACAGCCGCTTTGCAGAGCCTGCTAGAACTGGAAACAGCACACCTGGGGGCACAGCAGTCCCTCCTCTGGCCATAGATCCTGGCAGTCATCACATGCCCCTGACATAGGCAAGGGTTTTAATCTCAGAAATGTCCATTTTTATGAAAATTGGGAAACCACAAATGTCTTTCAATGGAGAAATGGATAAAGTTTCACATGTTTATAGAGTGGAATATTTACAGCAGTTAATCCAGATAGCATATGGAGATATCTACATGTGGGTAAAAGACGTAGATCTTTGTAGCTTTAAAAGACATATCTATAGACTTATAGTTCCCATGAGAATAAGTATCAAAAACATGTTTAATGAAAAGAGTAAGTTCTAGAATGACATCTGAAGAATGATACCATTTCTGTTAAAAAAAAAAAAAAGAGAGAGAGAGAGAGAGAGAGAGAGAGAGAGAGAGACCAACTACAACTGTACATTTTGATAGGTGCAGAAATATGTATGTTATAATACAAGAACAATCTAGAAGGAAACACATTAAAACCATTGTAGGGGTTATCTCTGGGGAAAGATAGAGGGGACTGGGGGTGGGAAGATAGAGGGTGGGAAGGCAAAAAGGGATTCCAGCTTTGTTTGTGAGATTCTAAAATTTTTCAAAGGTAAATGCATTCCTGTGTTACTTATGTATCTACAATTCCTTTTTCTTTAAATCTCACCAACTAGGAGCCTCCTGTAAGAAAATGTTTTCCACAACACTACACCCAATATCCACTCCTTTCCCTCCACCCTCACCACAGCCAGCACACCCACTCAGCCCAGTTCACCAGTGTTGTAAGGGAGTGCCACTTTTGTAAGGATTGCTCACTTTTACAACCCTTCTAGGGACCAGAACAAAACACATTGGCAGTGAGTCTTTGCAGAAAAAGTTATGTCAGCAAACAGCTGGCAGAAACGCCATTTGGTTCCAAATGATCCCATGGATTTTATATCCCTTTCCTGCTGACTTTGAGAGCAAAGTATGTTCGAGTTTGGCACTAGCCAAACCAACAGGAGAAAAGAAGGCAGCTCCCCACCGTTCCTACCTGTCGAAAACCACTGCCGAATACGCCCGCTCGGCAAAGATGACGTCCGAAGCCCAGAACTCCTTGGTGGCCTTCAGACCCCGGCCTTTGCCTTCAGAAGTGAAGACCTCCACGTTCTCCATGTTCCCTATTGTCATCTCACGGGCTTTCAGGCAGCGGGGCGATTCCCAACACTGAGCCAAGTCTCTTGTCCTCGCTGCTATTTTAGCACCTTCAGCATCCCAGAGAGCAAGCCTATAAATGGGCAGGCCACCTCCCCCTCCCACCCGCTCTGGCCACTGGGCCCTCACCTCCCCCTCTGCCCCTTCTCCTGGAGGCAGGGAGGGGGCAGGCAGGAGGACAGTGAGGTGGGAAGGGTCTCCCTCATCACCCAGCAGAGCTGACAGAGCAGAAGATGGCCATGGGCTCCTGCGCTGGGGTCTGGGTCAGAGAGCTTGGAAAGCTCTCTTGCAAGAGGAAGCTCAGGCCCGATGGCTGTCGTGCTGAGCTTTAGTTGGAGTAGGGAGCACTTGTTCATTAAGGTATTTTTAGCATCCAGATGCCTCTGTCAATCCAAAGCAGACAGCTGAAAGGGTCTAGGAGAAGAGGCGATGCCTGCTGCTCTGGGACCCTTCATCAGTCAGGCTTACACCTTCTCAAGTGAGTTATCCCCTTGTCCCCCTGCCTTTCAGAAAGCTAACAGTGGATACACATAACAGTACTAGTTAGACTCCAAGGACATCTCGCTTCTCCAGCATTTCTTGGGCTTCCCACAGCACCTCCACCAGGGCATAGAGTTCTGGAAATTACCTGATAATGCGGGTGTGCTGTGTGCAGGCTATATGAGAGGAGGCAAGCCTTGAAAATAAAAACCCTATTTCTATCTTTCTATCAAATCTCTCTTAACATGTGTTTACTGCCAGGAAAATCTCAACGTGCCCTGTGTCTCTTACCCAGGATGATGACACTGGAGAGACGATTCTAAAATCTCCAGTGAACTAAGTACCAACTCCAGCTCAGGTTGAAACAAAAGATCCTTGCAGATCTAGGGCTGTGGCTTATCTTCCATGTAATCTTTTTTATTTCTGGGATGCATCTATTTCTGGGAGGCCTGCTCTGGATCTCTGTGAGTACTGTCCTCAAGCACTAGCTTCTGAGTCAGATCTGCTTTTGAATGCTGAGTCTACCACTAGGACTTTGAGATAGAAGCTGTAAAACAAGGATGATAATTTCTGTCTCTCTTCCATCATGCCAGGACACAATGAGAAGTCTGAACCCCAGAAAAGGGCCTTTACCAAGACACTGCTGGCACCCTGATCTAGGACAGCCAGCTTCCAGAACTGTGAGAAATAAATTTCTGTTTTTTATAAGTTATGCAGTCTGTGGTATTTTGTTATTCCCACCCAAATGAACTAAGACATAAACCTAACCTAATAAGGGAGAAATATAATGAAAGTTATCCTGTAATAAAATATATAGAGGACCGGTGCACGAAATTTGGGCACAGGGGAGATGGTGTCCCTCAGCCTAGGCTGCACCCTCTCCAATCTGGGATCCTTCTCACAATCCAGGACTGCTGGCTCCCAACCACTTGTCTGCCTGCCTACCTGATTGCCCCTAACTGCTTCTGCTTGCTAGCCTGATCACCCCCTAACCACTCCCCTGCTAGCCTGATCAACACCTAACTGCTCCCCTGCCGGCCCTATTGCCCCTAACTGCCCTCTCCTGCGGGCCTGGTAACCCCCAACTGCCCTCCCTTGCTGGCCTGGTCCCTCCTAACTGCCCTTCCCTGCTGGCCATCTTGTGTCCACATGGGGGCAGCCATCTTCTATATTGGAATGATGGTCAATTTGCATATTACCTCTTTATTATATAGAAAGATTGTGAACTACGGTAAATATGTCAGTGTGCTCATTATGCTTATGTTTGGGTACAACGACACTAGAAAATATGATAAAGTCAAATGTTTTCTCCTAAGTAGAATCAGTGTGACGGGAGCTGGTTGAATCTGGAGACACAAACTCCACACAGAGCATTGTTGTATGTGACATGGTTTCCTGAAATGGTGAATGACGTTTAGTCAAGGTCTGAATGAATAAAAGTATAATCTTCCTTCATTTAACAAGAAGCTGCATTCCTGGGAAATGTTGTGAATTTTAAATTTTTATAAAAGCTACTCTATGATTGAATATAAAACAGAACCCTGGAATGAGCACCTGGATCTTTGACGTAGTGCAGGATGGACAAAGATTCTTCACTGTATCAGGGTGTCCCTTGCTTCCCAAGACATCTAACATCTTTGTCCAAGGTCAAAGAGGCAAGGGGTGTTAGCACTGTTATCAGTCTTTTGGTTGGTAATGGGGAAGGGGACACAGGGCCCTGCGATGTTGCGTAGCAACACAAATCCTATAAGGTGATTTTTTTTTTCTCATCTGCCTTTGTTCTCTCCCCTCCCTCCTCCCCCCCATTTCAAAATCACTGTGAATGACGAGATCAAGGAAAAGGTGCTTGTGCATATGTAGTAAAAGTTTAAAGAAATGCATGGGAATGAGAAATGCTTCATTCAGGATAGTACTTACTTCTGAGGGAAGGAGAAGTTCATTAGAAAGTAGGGACAGGATATTCCAGGAAGAGAGAGCAGCGTACACAATAAGTTGAGTTTATGCAATAGCTTGATATTTACAGAAATCAGTAAAGGTTGCTGGATCATAAAGTGAAAGCAGGGTAGGGAAGGGAGGCAACAGGAAGAAAATGAGACCAGGAAGTATACAGAAGCCTAGTAGTACTCACTTTTGATTTCCCCAACAGACAATGGGAGCCAGTAATGACTTTGAGATAGAACCCTTTGGCAGCAATATAGGCAGTAGATTGGAGTTGGTGAAGTCAGAGGAGGGATGGATGTCTGTTAGGCAGCTACTGCCCTGGTTGTAACACAAGATGATGAGAAGCTGAAATTAGATAGTGGCAGTGTGGCAGGAAAGGATATCCAAGAGTAACTTGCACCGTGCACAGGAGACATGCCCATCAAGAAATGGGTAGAATATTGTATAGCAATGAAGCAAATAAATAACACATATACTACAGCTTGATGAACTCAAAATGTTGAGTGAAACAAATCCCAGAACTGCATAAGGAAAGACATAAATCTTTAAAAAATAATCTAAACTTTTTAAAGCTACATGTATTTGTGATAAACATATTTGTAAGGAAATGACTACAAACAAGATAGTGATTTATTTGGGAGTTGGGGAATAAGATGATGAGATTTACATGTGTATATGTACATACATGATTACAAACACATATTTGATAGAGAGGGAAAGAGGGAGAGGGAGGGGGAGGGGAGAGGGGAGGGGAGGGGAGGGGAGGGGAGGAGAGATCATTTATGGATCTCTGATGACAGCATATCAGGACCAAGGGTTTTGTTATACCTACTCTATGTACTAAAGGCCCCTGCAAAGAAAGAGAAAGATTAAGTAGGAGATGATCTAGTTTTCAGATGCTCTGGAGTAGAACCCGTAGATTCCAGACTTTTATTTTATTTTAGGTGGGTTTAAACTTTAGATTCGCTCTGAAAGACTGGAGGCCCCGCAAGCTTCTCCTCTGCCAAGGGAAGGTGGAGGGTCTGCAAAGCAATAAGGGAGTTGAGTGAAACTGGAGCTGAGCCCCAGGAAGGCGGGCGAAGGGGCGGGGCGAAGGGCCGTGTGGGCGGGGCGAGCTGCGCAGTTGCAGTAGCGCGCCCCCGCCGTCATGGCGTCGGCGCCGGCCAGTCAGCCGCCGCTGGTGGCGGCGACTTCCCCTCCGGAACCCCGGTCTCCGCCTCCTCCTCCTCCTCCCCCGCCTGCTCGGCGGCGGAGGCGGCGGTGGTGGCAGCGGTTGTCCCTGCCTCAACGCCACCTCCACCTCGGCCTGTGCCCCGGCCGGCGGTTGGCGGGGAGGGGGACGGTAGTAGTAGACGCCCGCCCCTGCCTCACAAGAAGGTGAGTGCCCGCCCCGGCGGCGGGGGCGGCCCCGCCTTCAGCCCCGCGACTCCGCGGCCCGAGGAGGCCGGGCGCGCCCGGAGGGGGCAACATGGCCGACCCGGCGGCCCGAGTCCTTCCGCTCCCCACGCCCGCCGCCCGGAGAGGGCGCCGGGGCCGCCGCGGAGCGCGGAGCAGACGGGCCGCCGAGGAGGCCGAGGTGTGCGTGAGAGGCGGCCCGGGAGGCCGTGGGCCCGGAGCGCCCGGAGGAGGCGCACCGAGGAGGAGCCCTAGGTTGAGCGCACAGATCAACGGATGAAAGGCCGAGACCTGGACGGGAGGAACCTCCCTGGGACACGGAGGCCGCCCCGGAGGGTCGCTAGGGAGGAGTGCAGAGAGGGATGGGGAGTAGGGTGTTTTTGTTAATCCTCACACGAGGGCATGCTCGCCGGTGATTTTTAGAGAACGTGGAAGGGAGAGAGACATCGATGTGTCCATTAGTTGCCTCCTGCGCCGCCCCGACCGACCGACCTCCCGCCTGCGAGCCTTCGGTCCGCGAGGGAGGCCCCATCCCGAGCCCACCCGGCCGGGCGGCGGTGGGGTGTTTGGGGTTTAGAGTTTCCCCTGGCTTTTTTAGGGTAACCCCCTTATCAAAGAAGCTTCTAAGATTTACAGGCCTGGGAATCTGAGTTTGACTACGTACCTACCCAGGTCAAATAAGACCAAGCCAGGCATTACATGCAAAAGCCACCGGCTGCAGGAAAGCGCTGCGCTCCGCTGGGTTTGCGCAGGCGCGGCTGGGCGTTTTCCAGGGAAAAGGGAGACGCAGGGAAGTGACCACTGACCAGTGACGGGGTGGTCAGTGTGAGTGCATTTAGCTATGTCTGCTGGCTGGCATTAGGAAGTTGGGATTCTTTCCTCCCACCGCCCCGGGGGGACTCAGGCCTGAATTCCCCGATTGTTGCATTTCAAAGGAATGACTTTCAGGTCCTTGAGAAAGACAAGCCTGAATTTGTAGGAGATACACACGCACATACATCTACAAAGGCCAGAGGAAGGACGCACAATTGAATGCCCATTTTAGTAAGTGCTCAAAGGAGAGATCAGGAGCCCTTTGAACTCGTCTGTAGTAGTGTCAACAATAAAAATAAAGTTAAAAAATTAAAAAGAGAGATCAGGAGCCTTTCACCAGGTGTTGGCTGGAAGAAAGTAAATTTCTTATTGACAGTCGTGAGCTTTTCCTAACAAGTTCAAAAGGGACTAGGTCATCCCAGGAATTCCACCTTAGGCTGCTGAGACCAGGGTTAAAATTTGGGCAAGTT